ACCGCCTTGCTGTCGCCCGCGACCGCTTCCTTAGCCTTCACCCCGCAGACCTCACCCTCACTGACTTTGTAGACACCCTGACTGTGATAGAGACGTGTCACCGCTCCATCGCCCAGGCGAGCGGTGTCGTGCCGGTCCCTATCTTTCAGGGTTGTGCCCCCGCCCAGTGTACCTTCTCCGACGGCTCTGCCGCAGTGGCTGAGACTGCTGCTGCAGCGCTGTTTCGTTCGGGGAAGGGCCGCCGCCCCAAGGCTGGGCGCGGCGGCGGCGGCGGCGGGGGTGCGGGAGGGGGTAGTGGTGGTGTCGGGTCGTCTGGTGCTGGAGCGGACGAGGGGACCCTGCCCAGTCCAGCTGAGCCGCCGCCCCTGCAGTTGCAGCAGCCGCAGCAGCCGCCGCAGTCGCAGCCTTCGCAGCAGCCGCAGCAGCCGTCGCAGACGCGGCAGACGAGTGTCCTCCCGCCCGGGTGGCCCGGCGCTGGCGGTGGCCGGGCGCGTGGTGGTGTGCCGAGTGGTGGCTCTGGCGGCGGGCGTTGTCAGTACCAGATCCAGACCGGTCCTCGCCGCGGCTTCGTTTGCGGTAAGATCGGTCACTCCACTCCCCGTTGTTTTCGTCGCCTGGACGACCTCTTTCGTCAGCGCTTCGGCCCGTCGCCAGACCTCCCGGACTGGCACAGTTTGCTTAGTCGTAAGATTCAGATTTTTGACATGGACATGGATGCCATTGTTTCTGCTCTGCATGTGATGTATGCTGATGACTCTAGTGTGCTTCCCGCCTATTACTCACTGTTGCCTAGTGTAGGTGTGCCTAGCTTAGCCTCCCCTGCTGCGTCAGGCGTAGGATCTCCTGCTTTGTGTAGTCTTGGTGCTTCCGCCGTCGTTCCGTCGCCAGACGCCTCTGCTTCGCTTTCCTTCACCTTGGACTCTGGCGCTTCTCGGTGTTTCTTCCGCGACTCCACCACCCTGACGTCGCTTCCTGTTCCAGCTGCCGTTTCTCTTTCTGACCCCTCCGGCGGTCCGGTAGTCGCCCGCAGTTCCACCACCCTTCCCTGTCCGGCGGTTCCTTCGGGCACTCTCAAAGGTCTGCATATCCCCTCGTTCTCCAGGAACCTAGTTGGTGTCGGCTGCCTCCAGGACCTTGGCGTCACCACTACGTTCCCTGGTCACGAGCGGTATGCTGTCTGTACCGAGGCCGCCACTGGTGCCCCCCTGTCCACGTTCCCCCGGGACCCGGTGTCCGGCCTGTTCACTCTGGACACCGTGACCCCCCCGGCTGGAGCGCTCAGGCAGGTTGCTGCTGCCTGCTCCTGTCGGTCCCTCACTCACCCGACCCTCCTTTGGCACCACCGCCTAGGTCACCCTGCACTCCCGCGTCTCCGTCACATGTCCCAGCACGGTCTTGTCCTTGGTCTCCCAGGTTCCCTCCTCGCGTTTCCCTCCTCCCTAGCCCCACCTTGCACGCCTTGTGTCGAGGGTCGGCTTCGCCGTGCCCCTCACTCCTCCTCGTTTCCCCCTACCGCCGCGCCGCTGCAGACCCTGCACCTGGACGTCTGGGGCCCCGCCCCCGTCCCTGGGCCGCGTCGAGAGCGCTACTTCCTTGTGCTTGTCGACGACTTCACTCGTTACACCACAGTCTTTCCCCTGGAGCGCAAGGCCGACGTGCCTGGCGCTCTCATCCCCTGGCTTGTCTCTGCGCGTGTCCACCGCGGTCTCCATGTCTTGCATCTTCACTCAGACCGTGGTGGCGAGTTTGCCTCAGGTGTCCTTGGTCGCTTTTGTCGTGCGGAGGGCATCACCCAGACGTTCACCCTACCGGACTCCCCACAGCAGAATGGGGTCGCTGAGCGCCGCATCGGTTTGGTCATGGAGGTGGCTCGCACCTCCATGATCCATGCCGGTGCACCCCATTTTCTGTGGCCGTTCGCTGTGCGCTACGCTTCTCACCAGCTTAACTTGTGGCCGCACCCTCAGCAGCCGCAGGTTTCGCCGACCCGTCTTTGGACTGGGTCTCCTGGTGACGCGTCTGCGTTCCACGTCTGGGGCTGCCTTGCTCATGTCCGTGCCTCTGGCACGGACAAGCTCACTGCCCGCACCCTTCCCTGCGTCTTCCTCGGTTTTCCCCTTGACGCGTCCTCTCCCCAGTCCCCCCCTCCACCCCCGCTGCAGCCGTCGTTGTCGCGGCCGCCGCCGCCGTCGCAGCACCCGTTCGCTGACTCTGGGGGTGCTCGTCTCGGTAGCCCTGGGGGTGGTCCCTCTGGGGGTGCTGGTGTGGAGAGTGCCGGTGGTAGCCGAGGAGCAGCTTGCGGTCCTGGTCTCGCCGTTGTGCCGCCGCAGCAGCAGTCCCCGCCGGTGTCAGCTCTTCGCCTGCTTGGCCTTCCGTCCCCCGACCCTGCGTCGGTTCCTCCCCGACCGTCTCCTCCTCTTCCTGTCTACGGCCCTGTCTTCCCTCCACCGGACTCGTCCCCTACCCGTCTCCCCCCTCGTTCCCCTCTTGTGTCCCCTCCTCTGTCTCCTGACCCGACTCCTCCGTCGCACGTCTGGTCTCACCGTCCCTCCCGTGCTCGTCCTGCCTCGCCTGTCTTGCGCTCACACCCTATGTTGCTTCGTTCCCACGCGTCTCGTCCTCCCCTTCTGCCGTCCCCTCCTCCGTCCTCCCTTGTTGTTGGACCCCCCCCGCTGTCTGACTCCCTTCGTGCCGCTCGTCCCCTTGTTCCTCGGGTCCTTGCCTCTCTCGTTACCGACCCGTCTGTTCCGGCCTCGTGCCTTGACGCTCTTGTCGCAGCTGTCGCTGACTTCGCCTCTACCCGCCGCCTTGACTACGCCTCCGCTCTGGTCTCTGACCCTGCCTGTCCTCCGTCTGTCGGGGATGCTCCTGCCCTTGGCAGTGACGTCCTGGAGGACCGCCAGTTCGAGCTTGCTTTCCTGTCCGAGGCTGCTCCCCATCTCTGTTCCATGCTGCTAGTCCCTGAGGGTGACCCAGACGCTTTTGACATCCCGACCCCTCGCACTTACGCTGAGGCGACTTCGGGACCCTGGGCCTCGCAGTGGATAGCTGCCATGGAGCAGGAGATGGCATCTTGGAGATCCACCGGCACCTTCGTCGACGCAGTTCCCCCACCTGGGGTGAACGTAGTCGATGGCCGCTGGCTCTTCAAGGTGAAGCGCCCTCCTGGAGAGCCGCCTGTCTTCAAGGCGCGCTATGTGGCTAGAGGCTTCAGTCAGCGTGAAGGGGTGGACTTCTTCCAGACCTTCGCTCCGACCCCGAAGATGACTACTCTTCGGGTTCTGTTACACCTAGCTGCTCAGCGTGACTACGAGCTTCACTCCCTCGACTTCTCCACTGCCTTCCTTCAGGGCAGCCTACACGAGCAGGTCTACTTGCGTCGTCCTCAGGGCTTTACTGGCACCTTCCCTCCTGGGACCCAGTGGCTCCTGCGGCGCCCCGTCTACGGCCTGCGCCAGGCTCCACGTGAGTGGCACGACACTCTCCGTGCTACGCTTGCTGACCTGCAGTTCTTTCCGTCTTCCGCAGACCCTTCACTCTTCGTTCGTGCTGGCCAGACTCCGTTCTACATCCTTGTTTACGTCGACGACCTGGTCTTTGCCACAGCAGACAGGGACGCACTGGCCTCCATGAAGGCAGAGCTGCTGAAGAGACACACGTGCACTGACCTTGGAGTACTGCGCTGTTACCTTGGCTTGCAGATCTCCAGGGACAGAGTTGCGCGCACCATCACCCTGACTCAGTCACACTTGGTGCGTCAGGTCCTTCAGAGGTTCAGCCTTCAGTTCTCCTCTGCACAGCCCACCCCTCTGCCTGTAGACCACAGACTCTCCGCTCCAGTGTCTGAGGAGTTGGTAGAGCCCAGCGGCCCCTACGCAGAGCTGGTGGGTTGCCTCATGTACCTGATGACTTGCACTCGCCCAGATCTCGCATACCCTCTCGGCATCCTGGCTCGCTTTGTGGCCACAGGCAGACACCGACCGCAGCACTGGTCTGCTGCTAAGAGGGTTCTGCGTTATCTTGCTAGTACATCGGGCATGGTTTTAGTGCTAGGAGGACGCAGGCCAGTGGTCCTTACTGGACACACAGACGCTTCGTGGGCAGACGACGCTGAGACACTCAGGTCTACCCAGGGCTACTGCTTCAGCCTTGGCTCAGGTGCCGTCTCGTGGAGAGCTACCCGCTCCTCGTCTGTTGCGCAGTCCAGCTGTGAGGCTGAGATCTACGCTGGTGCCATGGCGGCACAGGAGCTCCGCTGGCTGACCTTCTTGCTCACTGACTTAGGTGAGCGGCCTAGCTCTGCCCCGGTCCTGTTCGCTGACAACAGGGCCATGATCCTCCTGTGTCAGGAGCCTCGACTCGAGGGCAGAGCAAAGCACATTCAGCTGCGGTACTTCCTGCTGCGTGAGCTACAGCAGCGACGGCAGGCTCGCGTAGTACACTTGGCCTCAGGTGCCAACACGGCTGATATCTTTACGAAGGCGCTTGCGTCTAAAGATCATCAGCGGCACTGTGTACAGCTTGGTCTAGTTCCTGTAGCCTCTCACTTGCTAGGACCTTGACTTTGTACTGTCCTTTATACGTATACTCAGACTGGACTTGTGTCCTCTTCCAGTGGCTGGACTAGTAGTGCCGCCCTGCTCTTGTTCTTGCCTTGTCTGTACGCCTTCTGACTGGTCTCTCAGACCCTTGTCTCAGAGGTTGGACTAGTAGTGCCGCCCTGAGCTGCTTGTTTAGGACATTCCCCTATGCAGTCTAGGGGGTGTGTCAAACATGTGTATTTGTCATGTTTGTATAGACTGTATAGGGTCGCGTCTTAGAGGGTACAACACTTAGGTATATCTGTGTGTACTCTCACTCTATCATTATTCACTTCTCCAATTATGATACTCGCGTGTGATTCGTGGCCTTCCTCGAGGCTCTCTTGCTAGGCTAGCCGTGCTTGTATTTAGCCCTGTGCTTCATTGGTACTCGACACACGTTAATCACGACCACAGTATTCCATTATTTGACTTCTATCCGGAGATTATCATAACAATGCTGAACTTGGTGCTTTATTACAGGTACAGTGTTCTGCCTCAGTTTCCTGGTACTGAACACTATCAAGTAGGAATGACGCCCTCAGACAAGCGCTACCCCTTGAGCATCATGCTGGGGGCATTCATCCTGTGACCGCGTCTTACCATTTGATCCCAGGCCCTCTGCATTGGAGCTTGCGCTGGAGTGTTGGCAGAAGCACTCGGGCCACGGGTCGGCGAAGAAAGACATGTGACCGTAGCGCCGGGGGAAGGGTGAAGCGGATGGTATCTTTCGAAGCACGTTCTTCACGGCCGGACCAAACACTTCCTCTGTTATGCCGCCCGCCTCCCTCTCGTCCAGCACACGGGACAGGGAGCGGCGATCGGGCCTCAGTGACGGTAGGAATCCCAGGTAGAGGCGGTGCCCCAGCACATTATTGGCAAAGTTGCTGGGACCGTCATAGCTGGGCATGAACACATCGGCCTGAGAAAAGGACGTGAGCAACAGAGAGGGAGAGGCGTTGAAAGCAAGCATGGGAATGAACGATTGCGGCAGTTGAGCAGCACAGGTGGGATGGCGCGCGGCGTACCTTGGTGCACACGATGTAGTCCACCGCCTGCCCCAGCAGCGCCCTGCCATGCCCCTCCACTACCTCCATCTCCGCCGCTGTCGCCACATCCGCACGCCGCACTATGTTGGGGAACAGTTCCTGCAGGGGCCGCATGAAGGCTTCACCCCCATACACTGCACCCCCTGCCAGATAGAGAAGGGTGGTGTTGGGGAAGCCCATGGCCTGCAGCGTGAGACCGACCTGTGGAGCAGGGACACAGAGGCAAGGAGGAGGTTCCATGGCCCAACCACAGTGTGAGGGCATGGGGCAATAGGAATGGGGAGGCGGAGGGAGGCTGGGAAGGCAAAGACAGGAAGATGGAGGTTGATGAGGTAAAGACAGGAGAGAGCGAAAGAGAGAGGGGGGGAGAGGAGGAGGGAGGTGAGGACGGGAAGCGTGTCGAGGAGATAAGGGGAGATTGAGATGATGACAGGTGGAAGCGTCAAGCCTTTTGGTGCATCTTGCACAAGGACCTGAGGTTGGCATGAGCCGTGACATGCAGCAGCGCAGAGGAGAAGAGAGGATGGGAGCAGAGGTTGGCACGAGGCAAGGCATGACAGCTGGGATGCCACAAGGGTTTACCTCGTGTGGTGTGAGAGGACACTTGCCGATTCGTCTCCTCCTTGACTGCTCCAGCTCCTTCTCTGCAAAGTTGGCTTCCCGGTACGCCCTCAGCTCCGCCTGCTGCTCTTCTGAGAATATGCTGAAGCACCTGCGCCACCAGCGAGAGAGAGGGAGAGAGAGCAACAGTCTCATCAGCAGCAGCGTGCAGTGAGGGATCAGCTGCGCTAGAAAGCTGGCAACAAACGCAAGTCACCCGATGGTGGCCGCGCACCCTGCAAAGGCCAGCATGTCCTTTTCGAAGCGTAGGTGCACGGCGATGAAGCGCCCCTCCATGCCAATGGCAGCGCTGCGTGCTCGCATGCGCGCCATCACGGTACCAGCCAGCGCGTGCACAGCGGGGTGGAAGCGCAGTGCGTGGAAGTTGGCGCGGCACCGCAGGCGCTGCAGCTCCAGCGCCACGCTGCCGTTGCCCAGCTCCTCCGCCAGGCGGTGCGCAAACGGCGTCAGGTACACCCCGCCCCGCCGCCGCAGCACTCGCAACGCCTCCTTCTCGTACCACTGCACTGGCGCCTCACGGGGTGGGCGCAGCTGCGGGGGTGGGGCGAGACGTAGTAACGGAGCAAAAAAAGGTGGCTTAAGACCATACTGGTGGCAGTGGGTTGCAACTAGGTGAAGGTGGCTGGAAAGTGTAGGGCAGGCGCCTCATGCTTCAAATCCGAAGGGTCGCGCGCCCTTGCAGCAAACAAGGCAAAGCGCCCTGTGCCATGGAGAATGGAGTGGCAGCGGGGACGATGAGTGACAAACCCGAATGAGCTTGGCTCGCTTGTCCGCCGCAACCTCTGGCGGCAGGTCCTTGACAATGCGCACATCGGGCGCAAGCGAGGCGATAAAGTGGTCCACGTCGTACACCGTGGCGAACCCACTGGGGCGCACAGAGCAGGGGGGATACACGCCGCAATCGGTAGTACGCATAGGAGTGACGGAGTTGACGTGGAAGCGGGTCCATGGCTTAGAGGCGGATGGGGAAGCGATGCCGGGGAAGCAACACGACTGTATTGTATGGCATAACATGGCATGACACCAAGCGACATGCTACGGTACAGCCTGGCATGGCGACGACAACTGTTGGTCCTAGACGCACTCCACCACTGTGCCTCACTCCTTCACCTTGTGTCGTTCCAAAACTCGTTGGTGTCAAGGCGTGGCAGCACTAGAGTAGCATTCATGATGCGTGCAACAACCACTGCATTGCATATCTGCACATGCACACATGCATCCTTGCTTGCACACTCCCACCCAACCCAACCCCCCCAGCAAGCACACACCCATGCACACACACAGACATAGCCATTCGAAAAAGTAAGTTCCAAGTGAGACAAGACGCAGCAGGCACTCGAGGGTAGTGCGAGGGCAGCGAGGACATACACAGTGTGGCGCTCAATGGGAGCAATGAGAAGGGTAGGCGGGAAAGCAGACACAGAGGAGGGAATGACCAGGAGAACCACCTATCATCGAGCCAGTAATAGCTACTGGAGTGTGTGGCAGCAGGCAGCGTGTGAGGGCAGTGGTGAGGAGCCGAGAGGCAATGTTATCAGAATGAATAAATCAGCTGCCTGCGATGGTGCGTTGCCATGGAGGGAACACAGAGCAGTCAATTCGAGTGCATCCCATGGCAGTGCTGCAATGCATGCTGACATGAGTTCGGCCATGCATACTGCCATGTGTGCTGCCATGCATACCACCATGTGTGCTGCTATGCATACCACCATGTGTGCTGCCATGCATACCACCATGTGTGCTGCCATGCATACCACCATGTGTGCTGCCATGCATACCACCATGTGTGCTGCCATGCATACCACCATGTGTGCTTCCATGCATGTAGACTAGTGTGTTGCCATGCATTCAAACATGGCACTTGACAACACGAGGCCATGGCTCCCTCTGCTCCACCCACCGCGCTCCTCTGCTGGTTGAGGCCTCCGTTGCACCTCACCACCACGAAGCCATTGCTCTCCCCCGATGGCGCTGCTCACAGTGTCGGGGGCTCACGCAGGGAGGGGCGGCCAGGGGGACACAGCGGGGACACAAGCATGGAGCGCAGTGGACGAGGTGGTGAGGGTGGACGGGAGAGTGCGAGGCAAGTGAGGCGAGGGCGAGAAACATGCTGACACTGAATGGGGCGCTGGGCACGGAGGACTAGAGGCCCACCATGTGGTGGCCATGCTGTTTCAGCCCTACTAACACGTCGCTTCACGTCAACATGCTCCTGCCATCTCGCCTTGTGAGCTTCCATGTGCGCTAACCAGTGAGTGGGAGGGGCAGGTGGCGGAGCCTTACCAGGCCAGACACCAGTTTCCCGCACGCCTGCATGCGCCACCCAGCCCTGAGGGGCGGGCTCAGGCCACAGGGACGCTGCCTCCCGCCCATGCGTGTGCGCGTGGCCCCCCTCTGCTGCGCCGCCCTCGCCCTCCCCCTGCGCTGGTGCCCGTGCGCCGTCGCCCCCTGCCCCCGCCTGCAGCAGCGAGCGCGTGGCGAGTGGCGGCGGGATGAGGGAGCGTGTGCGGCGTGGAAGCAGCAGGCGGCGGTGCGTGCCGTCAGAGGAGAGCACCGCCTGGCGCAGGGCCGCGAGGGGCGGGCAGGGAGAGAGAAAGCGAGCGACAAGGGGAGGGGGTGGGTTTGGAGGAGGGGAGGGAGAGGTAGGGGTCAAAAGTACGTAGGCGAAGGGCAGATGGCGAGATGAAGAGAGTGGAAAATTCGTACGGGGTGACCATGATATGCGCGGCGCGGCGAGGCAGAGCCAGCCGGTGCAGAATGGCGAGGAAGCAGCAAGAGATCACGGATTCGGGCATGCACACACAAGCGAGTGAGTGCGTGAGTGAGTGCATGAGTGAGTGCGTGAGTGATTGAATGAGTGAGAGGGTGAGTGAGTGAGTGAGAGATGGGGTGAGGTGGAGGTGTACCTCTAGTCGTGACATGATGTCATCGCCAAACCACGCAAACAGTGCCACCAGTGTCAGCAGCGCCAGCAGCAGCAGGAAACGACGCCGCCTGAAGGAAAGAGCAAGTACAGGGAGGAAGGAGAGGGAGAACGGGGCGCGGGAATTGAGGCAAGCGGGAGAGAGAGCACGCAGCACACAGCACACAGCACGCACACAGCACGCAGCCCTAGAGCAGTGAGTAGTTCTTTACCACGCACGACTCGGATCCCAGTGAGAGGGAGATTCAGCGCGGAGCAGCTCTCTCCGCTCGCCATCACCCTGCCGCGCTGCTGCTCTCCTCTGGAACCTCCCCGTTCGCAGCCACCGCGTCCTGCGCGCTGCCCTCTGAGCCAGCATGCGCGTGCGCGGAATGAGCGGCCGCCACGGCGCCGTGCTCACCTGTACCGTATCTGCAGCATCTCTATCTTCTTCCGCTGCCGCCCCCCCGATCTCCGCCGCTCCGGCCCGCTGCCTGGCTCGGGCCTCTTCTTCGACGCTGACCGCACGCCGCCCCCCACCTCCATGCCGCCGCCACTGCCGCCCTGTCACGACCCAGATCCAGCGTACTCGATTTTGGCCTGCCCTCTGTGCACGCTACTGACGCCACGGTCGGGCTGAGGGAAAGTGGATCGCGCTTTCCTTCTGATCGACCACTTGATGCCGTGCCTCCGCTCGAAAGCCCTAGCTGCTTACGACAACAACGCCGCTGCGACCGAGTTACTAGAACCACCAAGGGCTCGATACCAGTAGGAAAGAACCATTGGCTCAGCTGTCGAAGAGACACTATAGTAAGTCCTTAGAACCTTCGCGCGAACTGGTGCTATTACATAGACTTCATAGGCAGTAGAGGATGTTAGGCGGCGAAGGTTGTGTGGTGTGGATGCGGACGGGGTGAGGATTGGGACGGGAGGTTGCATGGAGGTCCGCGACAAGTGAGATTGGAGCGAGGAAGGCAGACCAAGCATGGAAGGGTTGGCGGGAGATATGAGGTGTCAGAGAGACTCGGCTCGCGCCTTGATGTTGTCACGCCTTACCTCTACGTGTACACTTCATACAGCCAAGGCAAAAAACTCGCCTTTCTTCCTAACAAAATTTGCATTGGCACAACCAAACTCAACAGCAGTTTTCGCATGCAAGCCTCCGTTATGTGCCCATGGATGTGAGACTTGTAAATATTTAAATTTCAAGCTCATCTGAAGTGGCCCTCTAGAATGCCTACAAGTTCAAACCCCATCCACAATATCACCACTATCACTTCGCCTTCCATGCTGCCTTCTGCCTCCTTTAGTAACCAAACTGCTAACTCTTGGCGATTCTTCGCTGACCCTTTCTGGCAGCTGCTTGCTTCTTCCTCCTCGTCCGCGTGTCACTGGAACTGATTCATCCCTCGTGTTCTTCGCAACGTCCTGCTCTCTCTCTAACCCCTTTCCAGGCCCTGACACTTCACCCTGACGCCCTCCCTTAGTCTGCCTCTCTTCTATTGACGCCTGCTGCTTCTGCACCAGGTCCAGCAGCCAATCGCTGCTCACTTTCTCAGGCCCCATGTACCCCTCATCTGCTGCCTCACTCCATCCGTCTTCACTATCCCCTGCATTCTCCGTTTCTCCTGTCTGTTGCTGTCGCCGCTCAGCTTGCCGTTGCCTCCTCTCCTGCCGCCTCGCCAGCTGTTCCTGCTGCGCGCGCACCGTCGCCAGGTTCACGCCGGTAGGCCGGCCCGGACCCGCACGGCCTTGGCGGGCGCGCGCTGTGCGCTTTCGGGCGGACGGGGCTCCGGAGGTAGCAGGGCCAGATGCATATGGGAACACAGCGGGTGCGGGTGGCGCAGCAGTGGCGGAGGCGTGGGTGCGCGGTATGGGCTTGGTGAAGGAAGTGCCCAGCATCTCCATGTCCACTCCGCTCCACGCGAACGTGTCAGTCATGTCCACCCACCCCGCGTCCCGTGCATACTGCACGGCGGCAGCAGCGCCGTCGCGGTGCAGGCGGCGTTCGTACTCGCACCACTCCAGGCGGTCGCGGTACACGGGGTCCGCCAGCACCGTCTCCGCCAGCTCCGCCCACTCCGCCAGATCGCCCGAGTCCGCCAGCTGTCGCATCATCCAACGCAAAGACCCGGGCTTCAGCGACCCCAGCAGCGGAGCGGGCCGTCGGTCGGCCACAGCTTCCTTGTACCAGCTGCCGAACGTCACGGGCGTGTCACGCGGAGGCACTGGACGCCTCCCGGTCCTGTTTGAATCGAAGTATGACCGAGCACTGAACCCGCGCCCACTCATCCGCTCGCGATTTCGCGCATTTTTGGGAGGCAAGCACCATCTTTTCAGATGCAAGGCGTTCCAGATCACAGACGGGGTAGATGGAGAAGGAGCTGTCACTTCCAAACTACCAATTCCGGCATCAGAACGAATCACGGGCCGGAGTGGAGACAGGTGGAAGGAGCGTGGAGACAACGAGGAATAATACGAGTTGTGCGATGGCAATGACCACGAGATGGTCGCCATACCCGCCGCCACCGTCTGAAGTACACTTGGAGGTAGGTTGGGTGGTGAGTGATGGAGGAGGGGAACATGAAAAGATGAACATTGAAGCGGGCGACGAGGAAGGGTTTTCTTGGGATTGGTTGGGGCTCCAGCCGTGTGAATGGTCCCTACAGCGCTAGCATGTGACCCAAGAACGATCAAGACAAAACTATTTGAATCTTGGTCATAGAGGCGAACTTCGCAGGGGGGTTGCGAAACGAAAAATGGGTTTGGGAAAGCGCGAAGGTCACGGACCTCGCCTCCGGGAGATGGGCGACGTTTTGGCGAAGGGTGGAAACAGGGAGGGTAAGAACCAGAGGTGGGGCGCGTGCAATGACGAGAATAAACCGACCCTTATGTGTAACTAGGACTGTCGGGCCAAAATTGATCGGGCAAAAGCACACGAGAGGACCCGAATCACGAAACAAAATATTGCGGGAACACGCCAGGATCCCCCCAACCGAGTCCACTGGTAACTACAAATCTAAAACATGAACCGTATGTAATTGTGTAGCTGAAGTCTGCAAAACAAAACTAACTCGAAGGCCATGCGTAACAACAGGAACATAGCAAATAGGATAGCTGCATTCTGGCTGTTGCGTCCAATCGTTGATTTACTCTCAAATAGTATCTCATAATAACGTTTGTTTATTAACACGAGCCTACAGGGTGTGGTGGTGTGAGGGAGAGTGTGGAAGAGGCGTGGAGAGTGCAAGTTGATGCGTGCAGTGCCCTTCGCTTGTCATGACCTACTGTTGGGAGAGTAAGGAGAGGGGGAGGCAGACCGCAAAGAAAGGGGGTAGTGAGTGAATGAGGGGTGAGCAGAGGGGACCAGGAAGATGAGCTGAGGCCAAGGCACGGGTGAGCTGAGGCCAAGGAGAGGGGGAGCTGAGAGGCAAGAGAGCGGGAGAAGAGATGCAAGAGAGCGGGAGATGAGAGGCAAGAGAGCGGGAGATGAGAGGCAAGAGAGCAGAAGCTAAGAGGCAAGAGAGCGGGAGATGAGAGGCAAGAGAGCGGGAGATGAGAGGCAAGAGTCAGGCCCCACCATCACAACATCACTCTCGCCTTCAAGGCGACAAAATATGGTGACAGGGAGCAGAGGAGCAGGGGGGGGAATGGAGCAAAGGGGTGGAATGAAAACAGGGGGAGACAATGGGAGGAGCGGAAAGGAATGAGAGGGAAGGGGGGGGGGGGCGGGGGGGCGCGAATGGGGGAGGAGGACAGGGGGAAAGAGAGAGGAGGATAGGGGGAGAGGGAGAGGAGGATAGGGGGAAATGGAGCGGAGGACAGGGGGAAAGGGAGAGGAGGATAGAGGGAAATGGAGAGGAGGATAGGGGGATAGGGAGAGGAGGATATGGGGAAAGGGAGAAGAGGATAGGGGGAAAGGGAGAGGAGGATATGGGAAAAGGGAAAGGAGGAGGGTTATATGGATAGGTGAACAGGGGGATAGGGTGGGAGGACAGGAGGAGAGGTAGAGGAGGATTGGGGGAAAGGGAGTGGGGGAGAACAGGGGGGAACTCTGAGGAGGCTGGGGAAAAGGAATGGGGAGCAGAGGGGAAGAGAAGGGAAAGAGAGGGGGCGCAGAGGGGAAAGAGAGCGGGAGCAGAAGGGAAAGAGAGGGGGCGCAGAGGGGAAAGAGAGCGGGAGCAGAAGGGAAAGAGAGGGGGCGCAGAGGGGAAAGAGAGCGGGAGCAGAAGGGAAAGAGAGGGGGTGCAGAGGGGAAAGAGAGGGGGAGCAAAGGAGAATGAGAGGGGGAGAGGCGGGGAAAGAGAGGGGAAGCTGAAGGGAATGAGAAGGGAAACTGGGGGGAAGGAGGCCGGAAACTGGGGGGAAGGAGAGGGGGAACAGAGGGGAAGGAGAGGGGGAACGGAGGGGAAGGACTGGACAAGAGGAGAGGGGGGATCAAAGACGGTTAGAGCGGGAGGCAAGAGGAGGATGAGCAGAGGCTGAAGAGGGGGATCTGGGGTAAGGAGAGGGAGGAGGGGAGGGGAAGGAGAGGCGGTGGAAACAGAGAGGAAATGAGGGGATAATGGAGTGGAGGATATGAGGATGAGCGGGGGAAACATAGACGAAGGGAGGTGAAAGGGAGAGGATGAGATGCAGAAATGAAGGGGGGAAGAGGGTAAAACATGGAGGAGAAGAGGGAGAGAACCGGAGTGGAGGAGGGGGAAAAGAGGAGGGGAGATGAGGGGAAAGGGGGGGGGAGCTATGGGAAAAGAGAGGGGATGCAGAGGAGAAAGACAAGGGACACAGAGGGGATCCGAGGGGAAAGGGAGATGGAGCTGGGGGGGAAAAGATGGGGGGGGGGGGGGGGTGGGAAATGAGGGGGAGTTGAAGGGAAGGAGAGGAGGAACTGAGGCGAATGAGAGGGGGGAGCTGAGGGGGATGAGAGGGGGAAATGAGGGGAAGACAGAGAGGAGGAGGGGAAAACGGGTGTAGGCAGCGTGGGAAATGGGGAGGACGAGAGGGGGAAACATGAACGAGGAGAGCGTGATACGGAGGGGAGGAGAGGGAGGGAGCATATCCTTGTTTTCTTCGCGCCAAATTCATGCACTTGAGCCCCCTACTTATCTCTCGCCTAGCCATCGCCTATCCAGTCGCCTCGCGATGAGGGGAAAAGAGAAGCGCGAGAAGGAGGAGGGAGAAGCGCGACGAGAGGGCCGCGTTCCCCGCGAATGGGGGGTAGGTAGAAGGACGCCGTGGGGAAGGTCGACCCGGGGGAGGGCTGGGGTTGCGAGGATGGGAAGGAAGAATAGCAACGAGGGGGACGGGAGATGGGCGTCGAAGGGAAGGGCTGCAGGTGCAACTTGGCGAAGGGAGATGGACGCCGAGGGGAAGGGTGAAGGCGGGGAGGGTTGCACGTGCGACGAGGGAAGGGAGATGGGCGACGCGGGGATGGGAGATGGGCGACGTGGGGATGGGAGATGGGTGATGTGGGGAAGTGCGACTTGGGGGAGGGCTGCACGTGCGACGAGGAGGACGGAGGAGGTTGACGACGGGGAAGGGACTTGGGCGACGAGGGGATGAGAGATGGACCTTCGAGGTGAATCCCCGCCGAGTGGCAAGGGGAAAGGCGAGGATTGGCTCACTCGATATTCGTTGCGACGCAAATGGTCCGGCACGCGCTCGAAATTCCCCAGGTCTTTAAGGTTTCCGTCGGTAATGCCCGGAGCAAGCGAGAGATACAGTAGCTGCGTGCAATTGCGCCTGACGTTAGTGCTAAAAAATGCCTTGGCGCTTGTGTGCCAGGGAGAGATACCTACGTGCAGCGGTATGCGTGGCCAATAAGGCAAAAAATGAGACAGCATGGGCTGTTAATAATAAGTTAGCTCGTCGTTCTCCTAGGCTACGGCCGCCATGGTCATGAGTCCCAAATAAGTCCCAGGCACTTTGAGTCTTGATCCACCCTCCCGTCGTTGCTGGTTGTAGGTGCGATGCTCGCAATCGCATCCCAGCTGTGGTTGGGGGCTCGACCAATCACTTCTCGTCGTTCAAGGTTTACCTCTCGTCGCTGAATTCCAGGGTAACCTTGTGTACTTAGGCTGGGTTTCGCGAGCGTCCAATAATATAAGACTTTGAGTCTTGATCGTTCTTGGACCACGCGCTTTAAGGCCCAGAGTCGAGTTCCATTTCTACATAGCGGGAAACTTACTGCAGCGGACTCTCCATGAAAACTTTTATACTTTCGTGGACAAGCCATACTTTCGTGGACAACACGTTGAGCTTTTCTTTCTCTCATGGACACCTTCCATACTTTCGTGGACTCTTGGCATACTTCCATGGGCACAAACTAATTTGCAGTGAAAATGCGTAAAAAGAACCGTAAAAGTGATGACGAGCATGGAGGAAAACAAAACAGACACTACATGCGTCGCAAAGTGTCGTGAGCTACAGCGCTCGCATACCGCATCCGAAACGCAATCCTGCAACCTCGGAAATGAACTGTTACGATTTCTTTGTCTCTGTCTATATCCCCGAATCGCGCATGAAATTAGAGTCACGCAACCGCGCTAAACTCCATACTTAACATAGAAAAACGAGTGTTTGAACATTTTTTGCGATATTGAAAAGCCTGCGTTGTATATACACCCGTGTTTTCCTCTTGTAGTATATTTTTTGCTGTTTTTTGTTGTTGTTTTTTTTGTGATATTCATGAATAGAAAGATATATAATCAGATCAATCTAAAGACATCATGTATATGCTTGATTAACTTGTTTTGTGCATAACAATGTTTTCAATTTTTATTCATGATTGAAAAAAATCATATTTCCAGTAGACAATACCATATGAGTGACTTTTTTTTGGGGGTTGCAGAGCAACCTATTGCGATCGATCGGACGAGATTTTTTTTTTCAGGTTTTATAAAGTTTTATGAAAAATAGGAAATTAATTGAAGTAAAATGATGGGGTGTATTGGCAATATATTGTAGATGGCTCATCTAAACTTACATAGCTTCATTAGCTTAGATTAGCTTGGCAAATAATTGAAACATGTGGCATATCACTATTACCGTAATCCCCCGTATATAACACCCGCCGAAATAGTCACTCCGCGGGTGGTTTATGCGGGGGAGAGCTTATGATAGGGTGCATTTTTGAGAGCACCCACTTTTTTGGGCCTGCATTTTACATAACACCCACCTCGTTTTATGCAGCACATAATAGTTTTCCATCATTTTTCAAGCTCCTCTCGATTGAAAAAAACAGGCAAGAAGACAAATGCAATGTCAATTATTATTAGCAGCGAAAAAAAACGGGCAGAAGAATCAACACAAACTGCAGCGCGAAATCGAAACGTCAGCGAAGGTTCAGATTTGGGAGGATTTCAACCGTCGAAGTCGCGGATTCTGCTGTGATTAGACGGTCAAAATCCTCCCGAGCGAAATCCTCTCAGGTCTTGACGGTCGCAGGTGCGGCACGAAGCTGGCCCAGACCACAGAACTCAACAGGGATTGGCCAACGACGCTTGGTTTGCAAGTTTCGTCTCAACGGATGATATGCCTCGTTAACAGCCGCTCCGCGCAGTTGTGAGCTAACATGACCTGGAACACTCAAATTCAAATTGCATTTTACATAACACATGGGCACTATATTTTTCCGGGCCACTGTTAAGACCCAGCCATTTTTTTAGTGAATTTTAATATACACCATAGGGTGTTATATATGGGTGATTACGGTACAACATAATACTTGAAATGAAACAATGATGGAAAAGATTTCATGTTCTCCATCATTTCGCGATATGTCGAAGAAGGGAGCAATTGAGACGTGTAATATAGTGTAATGTAGTAATTACACTATGGTACTGGAAAATATAACAAAATGATGGAAAACAAGAACGAAAATGTAAATGTTTCCCATCATTTCGCGTGACATATTTTTGTCGGCGACAAAAATAGGCAATCGCTTCCCTAGCTAGGTGGGGGAAGTTGAAAGCCTAATGTACAGGTCACCATTTTTTTTTAGGCAATGCACTTTGCGATTGCAAGAAAACATATTGCATTTATCATCTCCAGTTCAAGTGACTGCACTCAAGGTGGAAAGTCAAAGAACCTTACTCAAGATGATCAGTAAAAATGCACTACCTGTGTATCAAGCAAGCAGTAGCAGAATGGAGAAGGGCAACAACGGAAAGCAAATGGCAGCGACACAACACTTCGACCCCAAAATGCATCACGAGAAAGAAAGGCGACAAGTAGAAGCAATTGAAACATGTTATGTGATGTGGCAGTCTACTGTGGATAAAACGCACAGTTGGAAACCGAGATCCTTTCTAGCGGCATTCCTGAAGCACCAACACACGTGGCAAAAAAAAGAGATAATATGAAAAGAACACAAGTTTAGTTGAGGAGATAATGCATGGTAGAACTCGGGAAACGGAAACGAGGATTGAAGAAATGAACGTCTCATGCGATAAGAGGTAAAAAAATGGGACGAGAGAGGTAGAGAGGGAGAGAAAGAGAGAGAGAGAGAGAGAGAGAGAGAGAGAGAGAGAGAGAGAGAGAGAGAGAGAGAGAGAGAGAGAGAGAGAGAGAGAGAGAGAGAGAGAGAGAGAGAAAGAAAGAGAAAGAGAGAGACAGAGAGAGGGTTAGAGGGAAATAGTGGAAGAGAAAGAGAGGGGGAGAGAGAGGGAGAGAGGTAGAGAGAAGGGGGGGGGCAGAGAGAGTGAGAGGGGCAGGGAGAGAGAGGGAGGTAAAGGACAAGAGGGAGAGAGGTAGAGAGAGAGGTTTAGAGAGAGAGGGCAAGAAAGGTAATGAGAGAGAAAGGTGGGGCGATAGAGGTAGAGATAGAGAGAGAGAGAGAGAGAGAGAGAGAGAGAGAGAGAGAGAGAGAGAGAGAGAGAGAGGGAGAGAGAGAGAGAGAGAGAGAGAGAGAGAGAGAGAGAGGGGGGGGGTAGAGAGAGTGAGCGGGGCATTGAGAGAGAGAGGTGAAGGACGAGAGGGAGAGAGGTAGAGAGAAAGGGGTAAAAAAAAAGAGGGCAAGAAAGGGAAAGAGAGAGAGAGATAGAGAGAGAGAGAGAGAGAGAGAGAGAGAGAGAGAGAGAGAGAGAGAGAGAGAGAGAGAGAGAGAGAGAGAGAGGGAGGGAGAGAGAGAGAGAGAGAGAGAGAGAGAGAGAGAGAGAGAGAGAGAGAGAGAGAGAGAGAGAGAGAGAGAGAGAGAGAGACCGGGAGAAATGGGTGAGTGAGCGAATGAGAGAGTGGGTGAACGGGAGAACAAGACAATGAGAAAATCCGAGAATCAGAGAATGATAGAATGTGTGAGTGGGAGAATGAGAGTGGGCGAATGGGAGAATGAGAGAGTGGGTGAGTGGGAGAATAAGCTAGTGGGTGAATGGGAGAATGAGTGAACGAAGACATTAGAGAATGAATGAATAAGAGAAAGAGTGAGTGTGTGAAAAGGGAAATGAGGAATGAAGAATGGAAGGAGGGGATGGAAGGCAGGGAAGACAAGGGAGGCGTGGGAAGAGATGGACGGGGCGCAAGCGCGCAATGTGCTAGCGCGGAACTCGCCCGCACACTAGGCAGCAGCGCGCAACGTGCCACCGCGCCTCGCTATGCGCCGGCGCGTATGGCGCCTACGCGCAACGGACGGCAGCCCCTTGAAATATATTTTTTTGCTGCTCCATACGACCTGGTTGTGACTACCAAGCCTAGGGGGTGTGTTCAAATTATATATGTTATAATTTATATAGGCTTGGTAGGTTGTTACTGAACCTTTCTGTAGGGGGTACAAACCCCTCCTTGTACTCCCCTCTCTTCCTAATCCATCGCTCTTCTCTCTCGACACTCTCGCCTACTCTCCTAGCTAACCCTTGGCCGCCATTTCATGGCGGCCTCCTCTTTTCTTCCTAGTTCAAATTTAAACATGGTATCAGAGCAGGACGTCCTTCCTGGGCCTGCTCCCCTCCGTGCTTCCGCTGCGTTCTCGTTTACTGCCTTCCGACTTCCTGCCGTGCCGCCGTGGCGGCCATGCCCATTCCTGCCGTGCCGTCGCGCCGTGACGCGTGGCGTCGACGCCACACTGCTGTGACGGCGCCGTGCTTACCATCGCAGCAGCGACGTCCCACCGCTGCATCGACGCCGCGATGTGTCGGCGTCGTAATGCTGCCGTGGCAGCGTCGTCGGACGGCAGCTTGCCGCGCGACGTTCATGGCGCCGCCACACCTGCTGCCCGCACGCCAGCCTCAAGCGTGAGGCTGGACCACGCCCCGCCCCCCTTCCCCTGTGTCCTGTATCTTGCCGCAGCTGACGACTGATTCCCGCCGGCCGTCCCACCCTCGCGGGGTCTGGCCACGTCACCGAGAGGTGCGGGTGCCGCCGCCGCTGTTGTCGAAGCCGCCGCCGCCGCCGCTGTCGCCGCTTGCGTCGGGGCCACGCAGCCGCACGCCGCCGCCGCCGCCGCTGTCGACACTGCCGCCACTGCCGCCGTCGCCGCCGCAGCCCCTGCGGTCGACGTCGCCGCCTTACGCACCGTGGGGTCGACCGACCTAGTGTCGCTGTCCCTGTGGCTGGAATGGGGGTGCTAGGTTAGGGGGTGTGTGGTGTGTCGGGTGGGTGTGTGACTACCAAGCCTAGGGGGTGTGTTCAAATTATATAAGTTATAATTTATATAGGCTTGGTAGGTTGTTACTGAACCTTTCTGTAGGGGGTACAAACCCCTACTTGTACTCCCCTCTCTTCCTAATCCATCGCTCTTCTCTCTCGACACTCTCGCCTACTCTCCTAGCTAACCCTTGGCCGCCATTTCATGGCGGCCTCCTCTTTTCTTCCTAGTTCAGATTTAAACACTGGTATGGTGCAGCAAAAAAAATAAAAAAAATTCAAGGTGCAATGAATAGAAGCGTTACACATAGCTAGCAGTCAAGGAGATGATTAACATACATGTGAGAGGTAAGGAGGCGCGTTAGGAACTGTTGCTGGCGAGAAACATGGGAGCAGTAGGAGGCAAGGGTTCAAGCTGGCGAGAAAAATAAGGATGAAACACCAAGCAATCTGGCCCTCGTCGCAAATA